CGAAAGAACCGCCCTTTTTGTCAGGAAAAGGACCATTCCGGGTAAAATTTGATCTATGTACACAAGAGTTTCATTGTAAAAAGTCCACTTTTTCGGAAAAAGAACCCCCCTTTTGAGATTGCTGGCTATGGGCCTGATATGATTTTGTGTAAAGGTCTGTTTCTTGTTATCTCTGAAGCCCAGTTATCTCTGAAGCCCGGAGTTATCTATGATAAAATTTCCCTTATACTTCCTATTTTATCTTCGAAATACAATTTAAATGGAGACACCAAATACGTAAAATGTCATTTTTTCTTACCTTGGTTATTTCGTAACGATAATTTGTATATCACTGTGCAGTCTCAAGACCTAGAGTGAGATTTTGCACAATAAACCCTACCTGGTAAAATACTCATCAAATCCCGGTAATACCTCCGCCAGAGGTTGTACAGTGATTGCGTCCTCGGCCACGTGTTCCAGCTCCTCTACCACACTCTGGCGGGCGCTCCAGGCGTCACTGCCAATCCATATCAGCTTGTTGCGGCGTTGCCGTTTCCCGTTCAGTGTACTGTTTACGGCCGCGAAAAGCGCTCTTGCCTGGGGAGTGTCGAGGTAGAGAACAACCACTGAAAAGATGAAAGGAAGCCTAATCCAAGATAAGAATTGATCGAAAAGTGTACCTTGGTTAGTTTTATTTATAGGCCTATATTTTTATTTATATGTATTATTTTTATATATTATTTATTTTATTTATATTAAAATTAAAATTGGAGCATCTACGACCACTTCACTACGGATAGTTACAGTAGTATGTATGTGTGTATGTAGGAGTAAAGTTTGATTTTGTAGCGTAAATTTGTGTGTGCGAATGTGATTTAAAGTCTGTAAGGTACCTAAATTTTCAAAACAGGCACCTTAATGAAGTAGAAAATGAGATATCCTTGGACTGGGAGAAAATGAACACAATGCAAATTGGATCATTAAATTGTGGAGAGCTGAGGAAAATATTAAGAACAAGTTGAATGCAGGTAAACTGGCTTAATTTCGAAAAGTGAATTTGCTTGATGATGATCTTGAATATAGTTGAAATGAGGTTACCAATTGACGAAGGCAATTAATCGCACAGATAATTCGTATAAATACATGTATAAGTTTTACAGTCTTTCTTAAAATGAATAGTGATTCAGCTTCTGGTTGTGAAAAATTCAGGCATGAATCTGATGACTTTTTATTTCTATTGCGATCATTCATAGGGAAATTTTGATACTTTTATAGATAAGAAGAATAATTGGTAACTTCAACAAGACAACATAGGAAGACTTGTAACTTGATGCACTACCATATTATTTGATTATAAATATAGTAAATTTTTCAATATTTTTAACAACTAAGAAAATTCATGCTTCTCTGGTTATTTAAATGTTAAATAAAAGAAAACTCGCTCATTTCTTGTTTCTTATGAATATTGTACGCCTGTTTTATCCACCTTCTTTCCCATCCTGATATTAAATTTCTTTATCGATGGCAGGGTCCATATCTTAACATTCACCTCTCGCGTTTTGTTTTCCCGTAACCGATAAATTACGCCCTTAAGCTTGTTGTGCAAAAGCACCTTTCCCTCTGTCAACTTCATTGTTTTATAAATCACTCCTACCCATAAACTACTGCTCAATGATCAGATTTGACAATGCAGGATAATGCGTTCAGGTTAGGAATTTCGCACTTCACCACATAGAAAATTGTCAATCTTAAGACATAAACCTTTAATTCTGAAGATAAAACCTTTACTAAATTCTTACCTCGCGCTTCTTGTTTCTCAAACAACGCCTCCACAACATCCCTGTAATTCCCCGCATTAGGATCCACCGGTACCTTGAGCCGCAGGGCAAAGCATATCTCGGCCTTTTCGGCTCTCTTTTCCAGCTCACTGAACCCCTTCAGTCCATAGTTGGAGTCCACGTACACCGCCGAGATGTACGTCCATTGATTCTGCCTGCAAACGACACAAAAACGTCATGGGAAGGAGTCGTTTTCTTTTTTACCTTTTGTACTGTTAGTAAAATGTATTTTCAACTGAACAAATGGTACAGTTTTACTTTTTCAAATTAAAACAGAACACTTCACGTGATTTTTTTTCTCTTACATTTACAAATAATTCAACAATTATATCGAGTTTTTTAAACAACTGATGACATACTTTGACAGGATAGTTTTAAAGGCCTACCGTTATAGTGTCCAGACAAATCACACAACTTAATTGATCCGAGGTTCAGCTAGTCCGAGGACCAACTTGGTTGTGAACACAACCCTAGGGAGCATTCAGAATAATTTGGTGTACGGACTAACAGATTCTCGGATCAAATATGGCCGACCCACTTGAAAGTTTACCGCATAATACCCCTAATAGATACTGAAGAGAGTCTCTTCGGGGATTACGTAGTAAGCTTTCAAATGGGTCGATCATATTTGATCCGCTGATCTGTCAGTCCGTGGATCAACTTTGTTTGTGAACGCTGCCATAGATCTACGTACTTCAGGAGCTCCACAATGGCCTGGGCCTGGTTCAGGTCAGACGGCACCGTCCTCTGGAAATATGGGAACCTCTCCTTGTTGCTGAGGTCGGGGCTGGTGGACAGGTAGCTGATCTGAAAGGAATTGAGGGCATTCAGGACAGCGGACTAACTAATCCGTGGATCAAATATGGCGACCCACTAAAAAGCTTGCCGCTAATTTAGATTGGACACTGAATAGATTCGCACCGGGGATTAAGCAACAAGCCTTCAAGTGGGTCGGCCATATTTGACCCGCGGTTCTTGTTAGTCCTCTGTTCTGAATATGCTCAATGATTTGACAGTGAGGGTTAATGCTTTCTGGTGAGGAATTTCGCGCTTCATCACATTGAAAATTGCCAATCTTAAGCCATGAGCTTTTAAATCTAAAGGTCAATTTCATGTCCACAAACCATGAAGTAAAGGATGAAAACAAGACAAAAAAAAAAAAGACGCCAAAGCAGACAACAGGGAGAGAGAGAAAGACAATTCTGACATACCATACCTGTGGCACCTTGAATAACTGCAGCAAATTAGCCACATATATAGACACTGTACTTGACGCCCCTCCCACTACGCCAACCATCTTGTGGAAGTCCACCGACCCTGGGACAAGCTTGGGTTTGGTCCCGTTCGGGCACGTGTACGACAGCCCGTCATCCCCGCTTATCCTGGCCACCAGGAGTTTGACGAACTCCACCGACTGTTCCAGCGCGTATGCGGTATTGTCGCAGCTGTCGAGGGAGACGGCGCCAAGGCTAAACCCCGGGAGGAATGAGGAATCACTGTTGATTTTGTCTACCGTGTACATCAACGCTTCTAAAGGCTGGATTCCGTCCTGCTCCTGGATGTGGCCGCAGTGAGAGGAGTGTTGCGTGGAATCCGGGTTACTGGCCGAGGCGTGGACGGGAAATATTGCACCGATCAAAACGTCGCCGGGTATTATTGCGTACCGGTTTGGCTCACCTAACACAGCGTGTTTGAATAACACGTGGTGGGTCAGGATCATAACTGTGAAGATGAAATGCTGCAGCATGCTTACTGATGTTCGTACGATACGTTACACTAAATCACTTTCAGGTGTTCTCTTTGCTTTGAAATATGAATTAAACTTTAAGGACGGAGCTTTTGTTGGGAAAACTTGCAGTACAGTCGAGACTCCCATTCAAACTGTCAATCTCATGAAAAATTAGAATGCATCCTATTGCTGGTTGTGTTGTATATATTCTTCCTTTATGTGTTGTATTGAGTTTCTGAATCATGATAAATTCAGAATATACTATATCACTTCACGACTCCCTCGGCGTCTATCACTCTCTGTCTCTTTATATCGGGATGTTTGTTCTGACTGTATAATTCACTACCTTCTGTTATCGCATCAAGCGCAGGGGCAGCTCTCTTTCGCTATAAATACGACCAACACTGCAATAGAAAGAACAATTAGCTTTATCTTTACATCAATAATACTAAAAATTATCATCGCATGCACTTGAATGGGAGTTTACTTTAAATTTTATGTTGGTTTGATCGTATGTGGATATTTATGGTTGCATACTTCATGTTGTAGATGTTTCAGTTCCTGCGGAGATCGATCAGCAAAACATGAAGACTGAAGTGGCTTTCTGTGTAAGAGTTAGTATGAACCCCGGGGCATTTCGACCTTCGAGTCATCCAATTTTAAAGCTTAAAGTCAACATTTCTAAGGCAACATGGCAAGAGGACGATCAAGTGGTCCTAAAACGGGACCGACACGTTTGCCCCACGTCCCTTACAGCTGCTACTCACGTTATTCTAGATGGATTAAATCAATTCCATACAGAGTACGCACACGCGACTCTTGATAAGCTATATGTATACATGTAAGTGCACTAAGCCACTTTGACTGCATTCCCACAGATTTAGATCGATCCATCTGGATCGACCTAACTCCCTGGGGGTTCACGCTAAATTGTGTGCACGGCAGTTAATTACCCCCTTACAGCTTTTAGTAGGCGGGACAGATATTTAAGACGGCTAAGCTGACAGTAATCTAGTGAGACTCCCCACGGGGATAGATCGATCTAAAATCTGTGGGAATGCAGTCTTTGTGTCCTTGGCTGCATTCTTATCGTGATTTCAAGCTCTTCGACACAGTTTCAAGTGACTGTACATGTAATCATCTGTTAAATTTGTCACCAAATCTAGAAGTGAAACTCCTGCATTGTTGAGACCAAGATTTTGCTGTAGCAAAAGGGGTTATTCGAAGTTAACGATTCTATCTTTGACCCGTTTTGTTTTCTTTCTTTCCTTATTCTTTTTTTTTTGTGTGTGTGTGGGGGGGGAGGGACACACCAGGCGCTTGTCTTTTTCTTACCCTGAAACTTCTGATTTAACCCTTTCGCCCTCTTTTCTCTCTCTCTCTCTCTCTCTCTCTCTCTGCCCCCCCTCCCCCCTCCCCCCCCCCGACACACACACACACACACACACACACACACACACACACACAAACTCTATCCTTCCTGAATCCGCCGCTTCCTGTTTTCACCTGTACATTAGAGGCAATAAAGGCATTCTATACGGGATTTTCAAGCCAAATCTTTTCTTCTTCGATAAACAATTTCTCCTCGCCACGACCCATTGCGCGAGCTGTTTCTGCCCTTGCATTCGATTATTTGTACCATTTCAAATAATAAGATAATTCTTTTAGACCGCCACCCGTATTCCTGACATTTTTGAAGGAAATACATTGTTAACACTCCAGGTCCTTTTATTTGAGTGGTTTTATCGTTTTAAAGGTTGTAATTGGGGATGATAAGTGGCTTTGCAAGATATTCTGATAATCTGGGGACAGTCAAACGCGTAACCATACCCTCACTGTTACTACAGGTAAGCCTACATGTATAAACATTCCGATAGACATCAAACCAAAATTGTCGCCCCAATATAGAGCCATACATGTAAACAAAGCTACAGACGTCTCGTTATGTTAATTGCCCTTATTTTTTTTCAGTTTTCACCCAAATTTTCAAATGTTTCTTTTCTAGACCATAAGCGACCGCTGAAGAATTAACGCAATCGTTCTGAGTGTCTCTTTGGACCTGAACACATTGTAAGTCTACATTATACATACTGACTGATGTAAAATCGCATCCATATTTCATTAATATGTGTGTGGGTGGTGGGTGGTGGTAGATGATACACAGAAAGAAAAATAATAATCACGCACATCAAAAACCACTAAATTCAATACATAACAATACAGTGCAATACTAGATATTTCACGTTTACAAATTACAACAAATACAAGGAGGAATTCATTATTTAGCCTTCACTTTGATTGTTTCCATTAGTCTACATTCCAAGAAAAAAAATTAATGCCTTATTCTGAACAGTTTTAGCCAGATCTACAGCAAATACTATTATAAACCATATGTTCTGGAAAAGCTTCTCATGCCTGCCATTAATACTGTAGATTTTAATTTCACCATGATAATATTATCAAGTATCGGGGTTAACCCTTTCAAAGTAAAGCGTAATTTGCCCATAAGAAGTACAATGCGCATCTCTCTGAACTAATAAGATAATGGCACTTAAAACGTAGAATTTAATTTATAACTGAACATAATGCTAACAAGACTGAAACGGGATTTCTATCAAAAGTATCGCATCACATTCTGAGAAAAAATATCTGTCTATCTATCTATCTATCTATCTATCTATCTATATTTATTTATTTATTTGTTTGTTTGTTTGTTTAACTGAGTATCCTGTTAACTGAATATCCAGGGCGATCGTGAAGGCGAAGCTAATATAGCAGTTATCACGGCTCAGTTAAAACAACTGATGTTATGATAAATTGACTACACGGAGTTTTACTCACGCAAATTGTTAAGAAAATGTTTCATCTCTTCCCTATCCATCACCCTATTTTAACACTGCCACTAAGCTTGGCAGTATGCTCTTGTAAAACATACAGATTAAACTGGCGCGATAATATGTAAATGTCATTGTGCCAATTTGAGCAAATTGAAGCAGAGAATGGTACTTATAAAAGGGGAAATTATATGGCGCGAGATGCATCTCTGCCAGACGATTTGTGCTTCAACAAACAGCTCCGTCAGATGATTTCCGAATGCAGTGTGAGTAACAAAAGTAATATTTCACTATGGTCTGGGGGATTTTACCAACATTACCAGAACGTGCTATCAACATACTATCAATATATACTTGTAATCAAGTCGTTGTCCTCACAGCAATGCTTAGAGGACATTTAGAACAGCATACTAACAGATCAACGGATCAAATATGGTAAACCACTAAAAAGCTTACTGCTTAATTCCCGATTAGACACTGAATAGATTCTCCGCGAGTATTACGCAAGAAGCATTTAAGTAAGTCGGCCATATTTGATCCGCGGACCTGTTAGTCCGCTGTTCTGAATGCGCTGTTAGGCAATGTCAATCGGACAAACGGCTTCCGATCCTGTGGCTTTGTCATATAAAGACAATGTGTAGAAATTAAAGTACTATTCCTGACTCATTGAAACGTGATACGGAAATAAACTACACGCAATTTTACTCAAGAAAATTGCCATTAATATAATTAGTGGTATTAATACTATGATACAATACCGTTTCCTACTATTGAAATAAATGCCTTGCTGTATGCGTTTTTTTTTTTAATGAAAAGAAACAAGGAAACAAATGATGTTGAAATCAACAGACGTTTAAGCGCCAAAAATCGTATGATCAATTTATAAATGATAGATATGATAAATAATATAAAATAATGATAGATACATGTTGCAACTACAGAACATTCAACAAAATTTCTTAATTTTACCGAGGCATAAACTATTGCTCTAGGCCAGTTATTGCAAATGGATTTTCTGCTTTTAAAAAATAGTTGTATTCTAATTTTTTTGTTGCTCTTTTTCTAGCCTGCGGTAAGGTTTGAGTTTCTAGACACCTAATGTTATTGTCAAATGACGAGTTAATTGGGTAATGTATTATCCATATGAAAACCAGATGAAACAAGTGCTAGTATAAATCAGAAATGTGGCAGAATTAGGCCGGAGTGCACTCCCAACCACTTTCGACAGGTGACATTCGTCTTATATACTAACCCTATTACTCCGACTAACCCTAACCTGCCATACTAATATGGGAACCCGGACTTCCATTCCTAGGACCACATTGTACTATTTCTGTCACACTGAGATGGCAGAATCTTCCCGGACCAAAATAGGAGGACATCCCTTTAAACTTCTCTAAGGGAGAGGGTTTTTAATTTTAGATCATGGGCCCCGTAACTCGAAAGCATCGCGCATTGCGACCGAGCGCAAGCGTCTCGATTCCAAAACTCGCCCATGCTCGCCCCATATGATACAATGTAGCCTCTATGTGATATCGCTATTCGCGATGTTTCGAGTTACGGGGCCCTGGACTTTCTTGAAAGAGGGGAGCAATGGACAATTAACTCTCAAGGTGCTATCTGTTATTTGTCAGCCAAGATTATTAATACAGCATGCCTGGCGATCAGCAACCGTGCTAAAAAGTGTCATTTGTACGCTTAAATGCCATGCATCAGGTGTCTGGTATGACAAAGCTTTTTATACCCTGTCAACCTGTTTTTATTTACACATTTCATAAATGGCTTTTCCAGGAATGTGCGCAGCGACAGGAAAATACACTGTAAAGGATGGCAAATATAGGTGATGCCTTGAGAGAGAGAGAGAGAGAGAGAGAGAGAGAGAGAGAGAGAGAGAGAGAGTGCTCACAGATCATTAATCTATCGGGCTATAATTTGTTTGGGAAAGCAAACCACAAGGATCAGAAATTTATAGTCTACTTTTAAAAGCGAGCGACCTGCCTACACACAGGATGTTATTTTGGTTATGCATCCTGAAAACGCCTGTCAACTGTTTCATTGTTAAACCTCCAAATGTCCACGTGCATGTGTGTGGTATGTGTATATATATGTGTGTGTGGTATGTGCATATATATATATATATGTGTGTGTGTGTGTGTGTGTGTGTGTGTGTATAGAATTCGAAAATAGAGATGGTGGCTGTGAAGCTCTTGGCCATGGTCCAAGTCCATTGTTTTCAACGGCTCCATTTGCATTTGGCTGAATATCATTTTACACCCGTTAAATTTTAACCTTTACAAGTGACGTCCAGTTCACACACACACTGTACACAACTATTTTTCATGTTCTCTTTAAAAAACTTATTTTATGGTCCTGATATTATTTTATGTCATATCATGTTGAATTAAGGAAAATAAAACTATAAAGAATGTGCGCCGTGTGCAAGATTGCTTGTGGATACCTTTATCGACATTATACAGGTTATAGCCTTCATACATTTTGGTATAAGCTGTACTTATACTATCTAAAGCTTAAAGATAAGATATGGTGTATGCATATGAAAGTATTTAGATACCGTGATGTTAACTATTTTTGTACTGGGATGGCTAAAGGGACGTTGAGAAACAATTATTATTATGTTGTAAAACAATTATTATTATTTGCTATACTCTAGCAATGTACATGTAATTACTGTTATTCTCCTGTTTTGAATCCCTTATACCTATTTTATGAAGGTTTATTTTAATTGTTATCAATATTTCATAGTATTTAAAAATAAAAACATGATACACGTAAAAATAGCCTAACTCGTTAGTGAAAACTCAATTGTATCCCCTGTAAGTAGGATGAAGGTGGTAATATGAATATTCAACTCCTAAATGACACAAAATAAGTACTAGTATGGAATCAACGTGGTGAGACGCCGCAGTCAGAAATGGTTTCACACGGTAGAAATTATTTATTTTCCAGGCCGTGGTTCAGTTTGTCCAATATAAAGAATTAATAACACGGACATTTGATTTTATACAAGGTTGTAGGAAAACGGATAATTTTAAATTATTCATACATAAAGGTACTTTTTTTCAACAGCCTTAAGAAATAGTTTCTTAAATAAGTGTGAATGTGCATGCACTGACACTTTTACGATTACTCCGTACCACATACAAGCTGAGTCACATAATAATAATAATAATAATAATAATAATAATAATAATAATAATAATAAATAAATAAATAAATAAATAAATAAAAACAGAAAAATTAAAGAAAGCCGTGCTAATTTCTTTTCTTAAATCATAGCCCACATCTATACATATTATTCAAATATAAAAATACAACTTACAAGGGAACATGATATGTCAAACTCCAAGGCCATTCACTGCGACGCACTTTTTTCTGTCTGACGAGGTTTAGTCGCGGTTATCATTTCCCCCTTTATCCGTCCTCTATATTTCCGTCCTTGATGAACTTAATTTAATCCATCATAATAACGCAATAATAATTTGCTCCCTTTTTTCTCTCTCTGACGCTTTTGCTGCGACTTCCCCGATAAGCCTACCCTCTTCTTCCCAAGGGACGCGCACCTTGTCAATGGCTGATGTGCTCCATTACGTTCGTGGTGAATGCTTTTAATTACGGGAGTGGTAACATTGGCAACTTGTGACGCAAATTACATGAGGCACTTTTCATTTTTTTTTTTACAATTCTGTCTATGTAGATGGCATCCATTAACCATTAGCTGTGGCAAAAGAGTGCTCCTACTGCTTTGATTTTATTGAACATGTATGCTTTTTAAAAGAGGTGGCAAGGACAAAAAAAAATGACAACGTAGGCGAGATAATTTTACATAATCTGCATGCCACGGAAATGATCAAAATTATTTGGTTTTCTCTTGTTGCGCCCGGTATACTCTTTTTTGATGGAGGAAGGGGAGTAGGAAGGGGTAGCCTTCGAGGGCTACCAAAAGGGGTGGTATGTGTTCACTGTGACCCTATGGCTCTATTCCCATAGATTTTAGATCGATCTATCCCCGCGGGGAGTCTCACTAGATTACTTTCAGATAATCCGACTTAAATGTCCGTCCCGCCTACTACAAGCTGTAAGGGGGTAATTAACTTTCGTGTCCGCCCGGCTGACAGCTATTTAGCGTGAACCCCCAGGGAGTTAGGTCGATCTAAAGTAGGTCGATCTAATCTATGGAAATGAACGGTATGGATCCGTCATTAGTTTTTTTAATAAACATAGGGTGAGCCACTGTTTTAGCCCTTTCCAAATGACAGGCGGTACTAGGATGATAATTATTGCTTTTAATTACGGAGAAGAGAGCAGGACGAGGTAACATGTTTGATGTACAGCTCCATTATACTTCTCCCTGGAGGCTGAAGTATTAACGTGCACCATTTTCCTAGAATCAATATCTTTTGTTGGTAGGTTCCGAGAAAAGTATTTCACCTAAAAATAAGTAAGGACTTATTATATAACATTCTTGTCTACCTAACAAGACTCTTGCTGCTTATGATAATTCTACCTCCCCCCCCCCCCCCCCCAAAAAAAAAAACAAAAAAGACAGCAAAAAAGAGTTTTTGAAAAATCAACCACACCCTACAGCAATATATAGGACGAGACGGTAGGAAGAAATTTTACTTTAAAAATCCCCACCCAAGCCGGGATACATGTATTAAACCATGTGAACAGTTTTGGGTCCCTTTGGGTAATCTCTTACTCATGATGATAATTGGTTTTTAAATCATTGCATCACTGTTCAACGCCGGCTTCACGCTCATAGTATTGTCTGAGGACAAGCGATGATTTTTTTTTTTTTACTTATGAGTCATTTTGTCTCCTTCCTTCTCTCGTCATTATCTAAGTTACAATTGCGTTCGATTTGGTTCAGTGAACGTTTTATTCAGAGTGCTGAAATAACTGACGCTTCCCGAATATCTAGGTCTCCCATGCAGGGAAGATCTCAAGCATGTGATAGTCGATACTGCGGCAAGATTATGTTCTGTAAGGGCATACAAGTTTAACTGTGCCCGCACGAAAATGCAGTAGTATCGAAGTAGCAAAAAAGCATTAACGGAGCATGGTGTGGAGCATATTTGCAGTAGAAATGCAGCATAGCCTACTGCAATTCTACTCCAAAAAGTACATAGATTTGTACAGAGAGGAGCATTAATGCAGTAGATTAGCAGCATGATAGAAGCATGTTTCAAATATGCTAATTAGCTCCCAAATCGAAGCAGATTTGAAGCATGTTTGCAGTATGATTGCAGTAGTCTACTGCGGTTTGCAGTATGATTGCAGTAGTCTACTGCGCTGGAGTATCTACTGCTTTTTCTTGCGGGTCCAGGGCTCGAGTAATTCTAAAGAGGTTTTGAAGGGGTGAGTTTTTAACAATCCAGTACAATTTATTTCTGTACTGGTACATAAATTATTATGACCTTGTACAAACTAGATGATCAGAGAAGTGTCACCGCCTCTGGTTATTGTACCACCAGCTGGAGTAAGCACATTCGTATGGGAAAGAAAAAGTAGTGTTGTGGTTGACAAGATGTTGGAAATGAAGTAAACAAGGGATTTTTACTTCTAATAGACAATTATAATTTATAAAGAAATTGTGGGGAAAAGTAAAAGGACAAATCCAAATTTGCAAAGTTCAGTTCATGGTGAAAAGTAGGTCAAAGATCAAATTCAAGGCCACAGTTAGACTGCCAGCATATAGCTTCCTATTCAAGTTTAATAGTAAATATGGGCGTATCTCTGCCAGTTTTGGAGATATAAGTGTTGCAAAGTTCAGTTCCTGGTGAAAATTAGGTTAAAGGTCAATTTCAAGGTCACAGATTGCCAGTATATGACGTCCTTTTCAAGTTTGATAGTAACTTTGGGTGCATCTTTGCTAATTTTGGAGCACGCTCGGCTGTCACCTTGATTGGATAGTAAACGATTGTCGTAATATCACTAAATGATTTTAAAAACGGGTGCATAAACTTGAAAACCACCTTGAACAACCTTAGACTGCCACATTAATCCAAAACAATGCAAAAATAAACTATAACAAGTGGTTAAAGCCTTCAAGCCGAATGTCGTAAAGTCCCCATATACCTCCATAGAGACAATAAAATAGAATAAGCTTGTGAAACAAGATTCCACAAATTTAAACATGATAATCGAAATAAAATACTGCCGGGCATCGGAGCGGCCTAAAACTTGGCATGCTTACCGCAAATGCCGCAGGCTACATCATCCCGTCGCTCATTTGTTAATTCCGTGCATGGCATACGCACAATCAAACGGTAAATCCAAATTCCTGCTTTGACGCTTGAGTGTTTTGGAGTTACAGTAATATGCCATGAATTTTGTACAGAAGAAATTAATTGAAATAACGAAAAGATCATTTTGATCAAAATTCATGAGATGGAAGCTGGAAGCTGCTCAGAAATTCTGTCTTTTTTGACTGGAAGTTGTCTTTCCATTGGTAAGCCTTACAACGTCCAAAATTCATGGCAAATGATCGTATTCCACAATTTATATTTACCGCCATGCCGTAATATTTTATATAGGGCAACTCACAAAACATATGAAGAACAAAAAAAAAAAGAAAGGACATCACCCAGACATGCTGAAACTGTCGGTCCAATCGGTCATGACCGGCAAAATTTCTCTGGACCGGTAAAAAATTGCACTTACTCGGTCCAAAGGACTGACAAGAATTTGAAGAGCCGCCATCTTGAATTAACAGTCATCGTTCAATACACTTCAAGAATAAAATTATATAAAACCCACATCATTTTTTCTTCCATTTACTAATCGAGTGACAGGTAAAAACCTATCACATTTTGGTCATATTCACTTACAAAGTGCGCTAGCCAATCATAGTATCCGTCTCAATCGAACAGGGCGATTCCCCATTGGGAATCAACTCGCTCTCGATATTACGCACGCTGTCATTGGTTTATTGGGTTGCCACATACAGACAGCTATCATGAGTGCGGTCCACGCTGCCAAGCACATGTAAAGATGTCAGGGCAAATGTTTACTGCTAGACTTGGATGCCTGACTCCTTTCTCAAGAACAATTATTCATATAGCAAGCCAGGATAGTGACGCCTGACCTTCAAAGGTACGTATAGACACTTTTATTTGTTCTTTCTGGGGAAAAAAATGTTGATAGTGCATGGAAATGAGGTCACCTGATTCACTCGGTAAAAACGAGTTCAGAATCATAGGATTGCATCATATGCACAATAAGTGGTGATTGTAGTGGTTATTTAACTTATGGGTACTTTTGTTTGTGTTTAGCTAATACGCGGCAGTGCCGTCCGCATATCGCTGTTTTACGTAACAATAGTTTGACAGTCCAGTCCCTTCCTCAAACCTCCCAGTGGGCAAATTATGTTGTTTTAACATTGAAACAACATTGAACCATAATGTTGAGAAGACATTGGATAAATGTTGGATTTGAAAGTTGTGTCAACCTCAGAAAACAATGTTATATCAACCCCACCCAGCTGGAAATTAGCCTGGAAATTTAGCAGTAGGACATGTTTGATGGCTAAATATGTGTAGGGTATAAATGTATGGCCTTTAAGTTAAAATTTTCAAGGTTTAGATTAATATATGTAGTTCTTATATATATATAAGAACTACATATATTAATATATATGTAGTTCTTATATATATAAGAAGATAACTACAACCATCTATATATAGTCACAGTCCCCTCAACCTGTCTATCTATAACAGATTACCAAGAACTGTCAACTTTATTGACTTCACTCAATCACATTTACAGCAACTTATTCATCCTAGTGTTAGCTGACCTTGCAAGGAATTCAGTTTATTGGAATGTATTTCTGAATAACAAGTTAAGAAAATTCACTAGTTAACTAAAGACACAAAACAACTGTCACTTTTACTTTAAAACCCTTTTGTTATTATTTTGTTAAATTTAGTTACAGTATTGATAAACAAAGTATCACTTTTCAATAATTAATATGTTAAATTACAATCCATAACTGCAAGGTTGTGTCAACAACCAAAATACAAGGTTGAGTCAACATCACATTATGACGGTGTTTTGACATGGCTGGATCAATGTTGATTTTACGTTGAATTTAGGTAGATCAACGGCAATTCAACGTATCAACCCGTTTTCAATGTTGATCCAACGCAACTATGCCTGCTGGGCTACCATTGAAACTTACTCCATGGTGTATGAACATAATGTTTTACAGATTTTAAATATCCAGTTATCATTAACGTGATACCAGTTAGCAATACCAGTTACAGTTTTCATATCATCAATATTTTTTATTATTTTAGATTATGATATCGTCGAGTCCTGACCAGGAAGCCGTTCGTTTCCATGCAGAAGAGACTGATACAGCTAGTAAAGTGGCTAGCATGTTTCATGCTTTAGCACTCCTATTCAGACTACAATATCTGATATGTACTGTTTGTGTAGCATCAAAATGTGCGAATTATTTTCAAGAAAAGGAGACATTGATCAACAGCAAATATTGATATTGTTGAACAGTGGAAATGAGTTTTTTTTCATTTAATTTCTAAGCAAATTCATTTCAAATTGAAATGACTCAACATTAAGTTTCTGAGAAATTGATCACGACAAAAGTTATAATTAACCTCAATTTATGACATGGATATGAAATGTATGATGAATTCCTTGCTTTTTTACCATATTTCATCAAAACATACTATAATACATGTATTTATGGCACCTGGCAATAGTGGAAAGAGCTGGAAGGCATTGGCGAGTGCCAGCAGTGAGACACTTGCCAAGATGGAACGATCCGGACGGGACTAAAACCATGTGTACCGCCAGCGCCTACGCTGGTGGTACAATAATAAAGTAAAAGTATTATGGATATTCAGAAAAAGTGAATAGCAAAGGTCTTCAAGCCAATGGAAGTTCAGAGTCACACCTTCAAAATCCTAACTGTCCATCAATTCAATTATATTT